AAAATAAAGGGGGCCTCTGATGTCAGTAAAAGTCCAATTTGACTGGCAGGTGAAAGCTCAGGACTCAATTCTTGACTCTCCTGGAAAATATATATAACTCTGTATTCTACCATTGATGAAGTGGGAAAGGATTTTTCTGGTGTCCAAAATGAGGCTAGTAAAATTTTGCTGCCTCTCAAAAGTACTATGACAAATTCAGAAAGATTTGAAGGTGCCAGGATATGTAAACAGATTCAAGAATATGTATTGCCTTTAGCCAAGCACAAACCACATTATTTCAGAAGAGAGAAATACTAAAGACCAAAAAAGTTAAATCTCTGTTGATTGCTTCCCTGTAGTTTAATTAGTAAGGAAAGGCAGTAAGGCATCACAGAATTTCCATTTTAGTTTTACTGTTCCCCACAGTCAGTATTTTATGCCTGTGTTTTTATTTCTGGGTTCCAGGGACACATACAAACCATTCAAACTTTGTTCTTTTGTTTTCTATCATGAGAAATCCTGGACACAAGTAAAATCTTATAATGGACTACTATTATTCCTCCTCCCCGTCTCTTTCATAAACAATAAACACGTTGTACTCAAGTAATGATATACAGACACTGTTTGGTTTACTTAAAAAGATAGTTACCCAATCCAGGTTACTTCTGTAGAAGCAATGAAGATATGTGATATCAGTACTCAGAAAGGAAACTTGAAACATGAAAGAACCCTGTCCACTGTACTATGTAATGGCAACACTAAGAATTCACAGAACAAAAAGAATGCTCCGTTGCTAGAATCGCATCTTTAAAAGAAATATACACTAACTCTCAAATACAACCTTTTGTTACCTAAAACCTCACACAACCTCTCACCTATTTTTTTCCTCCAAAAGATCATGTTTTTCTAAAATATTCCAAGGGGTTTTTTTTCTTCCACTTCAGAAGAAGGTGACCCTAAGATATGATAAACTAAGAGAAGGAAATCAGCCAACAGCATTTCTTTTAGAAGTTTATCCAGTGTCACTATCATAACAAAACATTCTTTGGGGAAAAAAGAATACCTTTTAATGCTTTTTAAGGCCCAAACATTTGGTATTGTGAGTATCAGTCTTATTAAGGAACTACAATCACTTATGACTGAGAAAACATTGCTAAAAAACCTGTAGCTCTGAGTCTTTCTGGAAGATGGGGCATAAATTTCTAAAACAAAACTTAACTAAAATACTAAGTGCATCACAGGAGTCAGACCCGCAAATGAAAATACAAATGTTAGACTCAAAGCTCAACAAAAGAAGAAAACCTCCTCTACCATTAGTCTTATGTTTTACCACAAAAGAACTGAATCATTACAGTGCCAGAAGCTGTGCTAAGCTGCAATGAACACATGCCTCTATTAAAAGAATTCCGTGTGAAGACTTTAACAAAGCAATCGTAAGCTAACTAACCATAAGATCAATGAAATAAAACAAAAAACACACTACAGCCAAAAAAAAAATCAGCTTTTCATCAGCTTTAAATTGCATTGACTTCTATAACCTGCTTCCATTTGTCAGCCAAAGGGCAGAACATACTGCATACTCAGCTTGCATAATAATGAAAAAGTTATCTGCATGTTAAATAGCTAAAATAATCTTTTTAACACTGTTTGATAGGTCTCCATGTGCCAGTTAGTCTTTAGAAAATTCTAGTTCTGTTGAAAACATGGTTTGATATTATTTATACTTTATATTACTAAAATTTTTGAGCACCCTATTTTTTTTCCCTTTTTGTTGCAATTCAGAAACCTGTGAGAACATGTCAAACTCATGAAACTGTGCTATATTCCCATGGAGAAAGATTCCAAGTAAAATTATCCCCACCCCGCCCTTATACTGATGAAATGGACCTTAATAAAGATAACCGAAATCTAGAAAATATAATGCACAAGGCTAACAGAAAACAGTGCGTAAGCTTAGCACAGTCTTTCCAGTCTTCTCTGCTTAACTGGAATTTGAATTTTGCTCCAAGTTCTCCCCAGTACAGCTATTATTTGGCACAGAAAAGACCAAAATCCTAACAGCAGGCTTTACCTTATACTAATTAGCACGTTGTATTTCTCTCACGGGTCTGAAAATTCACTACTAGGTATTAACACTTCTATTTTACCACAACTGTGGCTTTCAGTTGAGAGACCTCAAATATCCAGGTATTATTTTCTTTGGCAATTTCTTAGTAATGTATTTAGAAACTTAAATAAACCTGTCACAGATGATAAATCTATCTCGCGTCAAGGCCACAGGGTGCAACATGCTGGACTATGGATAACAGATGCCATTGGGATCCTCTGCCTGTGTGTCTCATGGCCGTACAAAGAACTTTCCATATTCTTACCGTGAGGTCCAGAAAGCTTCCCACGAGAGTTGCAAAGGTAAAAAACACTCTTCGAGGATTCTGTGGACAGAAGTGAACAGCTGAACCCCAGACCACAAAAGAAACCATCTATTTTCAGCATACTGTATAAACCCATGCTAAGTGTGTCCCAGGAAAGTTTCCCAAAGATTACATAATGAAAAAATAAGAGAAGAAACAAAAAAAATTAACAGTATTTGAAAAGAAAACTTAAGAAAGCTAAGAACTGAAATCTTACTAATACCACATATATATTCTGCTGCATGGGCAAAATCATACAGGGTGATCAGATATCCCAGACTGACCAGGACAGGCACAAAATGGAAATCTTTTTCAAGAATTTCACTAGATCATTATTTTGTTGCAAGTTCTACAAGTGGGACATAAGAATTTCCCTCTCCCCCTTCCTCATAAACTGCAACCCTGGAAAAAGCTGGCAAATAGCCATAAGAGTCTCACATAAATCCTGGAATGTTACTTGCATCCAATTTTTCCTTTCAAAACCGATTTATTTTCACTCTACCATGCAAACATATCCAGGCATCAGAACAAGAGGACAAGCCAAACTGTGCTCTTCAGATTCAGTTAGGCAAAAAAGTCGTGGTTTCAAGTTCCTGTAGTACTCAGTCTTCTAAAATTAGAGTGGATACATAAACTATCATTACAAGAGTTCTGGAAAGTGGTGAGTACCAGAAATAAGTTTGCAGTTGTCTTATTGTTTTATAGTCTTCATTCATTTCCATCCTACATGGAACTCTTGGGTTCCATGATTCCCACAAGTCACAGAGCTAACATTTAATATTTCAACACTGGAAATTGTTTATGGTTTCGTAACTCCAAGAATTGTGCAACAAACTAAGCAAGCCAGTAACCATAGCAACTGTGGTAGAGAAAAAACAAGTTTCAGCTATGAAACTGCAGTGTATTTTTAATTCTTGCAAATGCTATTCTTTCATATTCTACATGTGAAAAATTCATTAAACATGTACAGTAAGTAACGTATATATCTATTATGTACTAAGACACTTCTTACTACTGTGCTGTATCCATCTCTCTTCTCTCTCTTTTCCTCTCTCCCTTTATCAGAGTACTACACTTTCTTCTGTTTGCTTATGAACACCTGTATAAAAAAAAGTACAGATGCTTCAATGGAGAAGAAGAATGCACTCTGTCTAGTTATTTTTATGCAAGTAGATTCTAAGGGTCAGTTATATTTACTGTCCTATTACCAAACGGCTTTTGTAGCATACTCTCCTTGAATTGGCTATGCAGCACTCATATCTTGCTGATTCTAGGAACTTTGCTAGGAAGGCATTAAATAACAAGCCCATGAACATATATGATTATATAAACTACAGCATGCATTACTATATAATGCAGTTAAATGAAGCAGGACTGAACCTCTGTTTAGAACTGAAATGATTTTAGGTACCCACATCCCACGTGGGACATGGATCTACATACCCAAAGAGAGTATTACATTAAGCCCTGTACAATCTTACAGAGACACTTTGCTTGTAACTATTGTTTCTTAGTGATGGCAAGCAATTACACTGGTATTAATGAATACAAGATAGAAACAGTGAAAAGTTTTCCACTCAACTATCTATTTCATCCCAATTTCGGTATTTTATGAAGACTTGAGGGATAAAACTTTCAGGAAAAAAAGATTTCAAAACCATATGAAAATTTAAAATTCATCCATTTGGATTATTTGAGGACTTTAACAGACAAAATTATTTGAAATAATTAGTACCTTTCATCAATACTGTGAATATGTCTAAATAAGGAAGGCTACACTTCTTGTCCTGTCTTACAAAACAATACTTATAAGTATCTTTCTGTAAAAGCTTTTACATCCCAAAAATATCAGAAAGCAGTGATGTACTTTTTTTTTTTTTAATAGGAAGAACCTAAACCAAAAAACTGTTCTCAAAAATTCAGCAAAATATCATAAAGATACACAGGCTTTGGGGACCTCTTATTTTGTTTTGGGAGGCTTTTTGGTAAAACTAATAATCTTTCTAATAGATAAAGATATGTGCACACAAGTTTCCAGTACTTCTGTAACACTCTGATGAGTAAATTTTAATTCAATCAAATAAGGCACCAATTCAACAGAATCCAAAAAAGTACAGATCATGTCTCCAGTCCTGTAAGTATAAGACATCCATGGAATGAAAAAATAGCAAGCCTAGATAAAGCCAGTTTTCCTCTGTTGACTCTGGCATAGAAAAGCATCCTTTTGATTTGGATAACAAAGGCCACGACCACATGGTCCCACTGGAGGCATCTGGTTGGAGATGCACTAGGACAGAAACAAAGCTATGCAGAACTACCAGCACATGTTAACTGCCACAAACAGCAGGATTACTGCTTTGGACTAGCGGGAGGTGGCCACATCTCTGCAGCTCACAGCACTTTCTTTAGAAATGTCTGCTTTGGCAATTCCATTTATCAAATGTATTTTTATGCTTGATGCTTATTTAGTATTGTATTAATAACAATATTGGTTTAATGCATTCTCTTCAATTAAACCCGTGAAGTACTTTAACCAAAACAACATGGACATAACATTTTTATCAAGTGAAGACACAAAATACCACAATAAATAGAAATTTGGACACAAACCCAACATGCCAATTTATTTTTTATTCTCTTTGTACTACCAGAGTCTAGTTTGAACAATTCTTCCTCAAAAACATGCAGATTTCACTGGACAGTAAAAGTATTTGCTACAATAACATTCAGGTACATTACTTAGATGACATAAAAATCTTCAAACACTGTACTTCAGAAATAAAGAAGCTGGCATACAGCTCTGACACGATTCCAAAAAGTATGCATTATTTTTAAAATGGCAAACATTGCTTATTTTTCTTTCCATAACCAAATGATAAACACTGTACCAAGGAAAGATCACGCACAGCAACAGACACTCCGTAAGTTCAGACATAACCATCCATATGTTATCCTTAAAATATTTTAATGTAGCTCAGATGGTTGCATCTATTTAGACCAGTGACTGTAAAATTATGTACCTATAATAAATAATGGATCCATTAAATCAATGATAAGGTATTACCTTACAAATAACTGCCAATTCCAATGACACATCAAGACAATGTTCCTTACAAACCCTATCACCACTCTACCCAAAGTTCACAAAGTCAACAGCAATTACTGAACATACAGAGAGTAAAAGTGTACGTATAGCCGAACAGGTATTTTAACACTCAAATTTCAACATATGTAATATATGTTGCACACATTAATCCACTATTAACACAAAGTTTGATAAAGGTGTCATAGGTTGTGATATTTAATCTTCTGGCATCTCTTGCGTCAAATGGCAAAGATGCACAGTCTTAACTTTACTTGCAAGTACGCAGACTTAGCTGGAATGTTTAGAAGGGATAACTAATATATATCCCAACAGAAAAGTAAAATCACATCTTAATTTTAATAATTAAACCATACTTCTGTAACATCCGCCCCTGACCAAACCTTTGCACAGTGTCTTAACAAAGAACTGGTTTTCCATGATGACAAGTACTGCTTTTCTATGTGGGGAAGGTGTGAAGTAATTTGCTTCTCGTGAAAATTACTTCTTCTCTCCAACAAAATGACTGAAAATAATCTAGAGAACTTCTATTACAATATTGAAAGCTTAAACTACAGAGCTTAATGTAACCACACACTGACAAAGAATTCCAAGCAAGCTACAATTCTTGGGCATACTCTGTTTTAACCTGGCTGCTTTTTACAGGATACTCTCTCTTTCTTCTCCAAAACCAGCCCCTTCTGAGGCCGTAACAGTGTGGAGCTCTGATGAATCTTTTGAAAGCCTGGTATAACTTGAACGGTGGCTCCGTTTGTGAGCAACGCTCTTGAGGTTCTCATTCTGAACCGCAGTTGAAGTGGAACCTGAGCCAGGGTGCAGGATAATTTGAGGTGAATCTCTGATACCTTGTATTTCTTCAAAATTTTGATTAGCTTGATTGTTTGGAGCGCTGTTATTATTTAAGGTTACTGTACTAGGGGTTCTATTTAAATTATAGACTTTCTGGCAAGCTGGCCAGTTCTCTTCTGGGCTACTTGCTATCAAGCTGCTTTCAGAAGGGCTTTTCTTATCTTCTGAGCAAATAGACATGCGAACCACAGCTGGATCTTGAAGGCCACTAAGGCTGTGCGGAATTCCTCTCTTTCCACTGTGACTGTCATCTTCAAGCTCAATGAGATTTGCCTTTTCAAGCTGTGAATCATCCGCTCCTTCATTATGGAGGGAATGATTTGGAGAACTTTCGTTGGATCTTACACCAGAGTCAGACGAATCTTTTTTATCCAAAAGGGCATCTGTCAAATACTCCTTTGCTTTGATGAAGGTTCTAATAGGTTCAGATCCATGTTCTGGAGATTTGGGCTGCTTCTCTATTTTGCCATCTGTTTTCTTATCTTTACCTTCCTTAAGAAGTGGAGTATTATCTGATTCCTCCGTTCCTGACTCATCTTCATCACTTGGAAGTTTCTGATACCGGAGAGTAACTCCCTTAAGCTTTAAATCTGCAGCCTGGAAAATACTTGTTCTTTCTGAAGACTTCTTTCCTGGGAGGAGCTTGGAACCAGACTGATCAGATTTTTCATCTTCTTCAGTAATAGGATCCAAAGGAGATGCATCATTAGTAGAAACACCTGAAGTACTGTAATCAACAACATCATTCCTCTTCAGCAAGAAGGACTTTCTTCCATCATCTTGTTTCTGTTCACCATCTTTTCCTTTTTCCTGTTCTGCACTGGAATGCAAGGAACCCCCTGATGTACTCTGCCCCATATAGAAAGCACTTGAGCTATGAGGGGAGGACCTACCACTTACTGTAGTAGAATTGGCGCCTCCTTCTAACTGTGACATCTGAGCAATATACTCTCTATATGCATCTCTGTATTCTGCCTGTACCTTGTCAGTAAGCTTTGATATTTCAATACTAGAATCCTGAGAGTTAAGGCTTGAAAGACTTGGAGTTCTACGAGTTTGTGACTGGAAGAAAAAAAGACAGAAAAGAAAGAGATAACAGTTAAATGAACTATTTATTTTTACTTTTACTGATCTTTTTAAATTAAATAACTCAAAGCATCAAGCATGTGCTTAAATGATTTTTTTTGTTGCTGTGAATATATTACGCAAGTGAAATTGTCAATGCTATAATTAAAATATGCTTACTATAATCATATATATGCAACCATACACACATTCACTAAACTTACAAAGTATTCTTATTGTTGGTCCCCATAACGGAAGATTTCCACAAAACAAGCATTTTACCCAGTGCATTTGAGGCTAACTCTTTTGAGTATATAATTATAACAATTGAACTTGTATGTCAAGATGGGCTTTTCTAATACATTTTTGAACATTTACAAAATTAGCATTTTATATTAGAAAGACAGCAAGGGTTAATCTAAATGCTGAACATCTCTCAAAAACATTTTTAAAAGACCCCCATCCTACATACTTCAATAAATCCTAGCAAAATTCCATTGCATACAGCTGATTTCAGAAAAATCAGTTCTCGGACAAACATACTCCTCTTTGCCCCCACCTCTGCTCTCTTTTAGTGTGCACACAGACAACTCCATAGGCATAGGATGCTAGGCCATCTATTAAACCTGGCCACTGTCGTGAGAGACAAC